AGCTTCCACTTTCTTTGAGTTTCTTTTTTCCCTTCAAAATAGATTTTACCAAATCCTCCAATGAAAGTCACATTTGCCCCCAATTTGGCATGCAACAATATTCCCAAGTTGTTGAATTGGTCATGAAAGAATGTTCATTGAAATTTAGCTCGAAGTATTTAACTAAGGATAATTTTTCAAGGTTTAGGGAATAAAGTTTCAAAAAAGAAGGCCTTCGACCCTTGTATCTTCTACAATAAGCATCAAAATGATAACAATCACCTAACAAAGTTGGCAAAACTCTACCATTTCCCCCTGTTTTTTTTTTTTAATTTATTTTGTACAATTTGTGGTAATTCTTAAAGATGAATCCTTGGCAAAGGTTTTCATCTCATTCCTACTCATCTGTTATTTTTCCCTCAATCACCTCGCTCATTTCTCAATCTTTCCTTTTTCCTCAAGCCTTAATTTTCTCTACGGAGTTCAAAGTTGAATTCAAGCTCATTAACAATGCAACTCATGGAAGTATAAAATTAAGAACTGAATAACTACGAATTAAAACATGAAGAACAAAGATTCAAATTGCAATATGAAAGGAGTTTGGAAAATGCAAATAAAAACTAACATGAAAGACACATTTTTACTCCAAAATGATAGCAATAGGGAAAAAAACTCCACTATTCACTTATTCAAGCTTTCATCAATAGTAGTTCTAAGATCAATATTGTCTGAGTAAAATTGTAAGCGTTTCCAGTCCTTCAAGTCTTGAATCTTATGCTTCAGAGTCAAACACCTTTCTATATCATGACCAATGGACCTACTATGATAATCACATATGGCTTATGGATCATACCAGAATGACAAATGATTAGGAGGCTTATTTACAAGGATTAGAGTCAATTCCCCAAGTGCTACCATTCGATTGAATATTTCTCACTATGATAATAGTAGGGGATCAAAATGTCGATGCTTCCTTCCTTGATTTTGAACTACTTCTCCGAGTTGATATGCAACAGAATTCACCATTTGTACGTCATTCTCTTTTTTATCCTTCTCACTTTGGTTGACTCTGTTTGTGTGAGTCATATTATCTAATTCCAACAATTTACCATTTTGATGTTGCTCAAGAATATCCTTTATAGCTTGGTAATCTAGGATAACACCAAATTTGATTCCATCCTCAACTTGTTCTCCCACAACAACCAACTAAGCAAAAGTGTAATTCACACAAGTCATGAACTTTTTACGGTAAGGCCCTTTGGTTGACTTAATGAATAAATTACTTAATTCATGATCAAACAATGGTGGTTGAACTTGAGCAACCAATCCATGCCATCTCTAGGCAAATTCCTTAAAACTCTCACCTAATTTCTTTTTTATCTTTTGAAGATTTTCTTTACTAGGAGTTAATGATGTATTGTATTCATATTGCTTCATGAAATTGTGAGTTAAATCATGCCAACTCTTGACCTTACTTTTGTCTAAAGTTGAGAACCAAGCATCTATAGGACCTGTTAGACTGTTTTGAAAGTAATGTATCGTTAGCTTCTTGTCATTGGCATAAGGAGTCATCTTCATAGAATATAGGTCAAGTAAGCATAAGGACAACCAATGGCATTGTACTTATAAAATTTAGGCAATTTGAACTTATGTGGCAGTTAAATGTTTGGAAAAAAGTACAAAGATGAGTTGTCCAATGGTTTATTGGTTTGGACACCTTGCATCAATTTAGTGTTTTCCCCCATCAACTGCACCTTTGCTTTTATTGCCTTGTCTTCATCCTCTGTGATTGATTTAACAACTTGAGTTCCAACTTGACCATTTTCATTAGTTTGAGTTGTAGCAATACTAGCATTTAAAAAAGTTGGGACAAGTGGTTTATTCTAGAAGCTCCAACAATAGTCAAATTTGGAGGGCTGGATAACATTGGCTCCTTTCCAAGAGTTAAAGCAGATGCGGCTATAGGGGTATTTGCCACATAAGCATTTCCTTCAAACAAAGGATTTGTTGTCAAAGGTGCCCTTGTGACTAAGGTTGCTTGAAAAGACTGGAAGGAAACCATCAATTCCTTTAAAGTG